AAGAACTGTGTCGAGAAAGGGTTGAAATTGTCATAGGGTAGGGTTGACTCGCCATAATTATGCTAACATAAGAATTACGGTCTGAATCAATGAACCTTTCACCAATATTACGATAGTTAAAAAATCATTTATTACTATATGCTGTCATGCTTGAAGACGTGACATCGTGGCAAAATGCTTTCACCCATCACATTTGTCTGCTGTTTCACAATGTTTGCTGAACAAGTTCACAGATGACTTTGAATATTTTGAAATGCTCGAAAATGTTGTTTTTCTTTACTTAAGGCTGTGCTGAAATCAAAGAAGATATACCGATCCTACCTCTCGATTACAAACTGACTCAAATATCTATGAATTTATCAGAAATGAAGAATATCACCAGAATAATAGTTTTTAGAAGACTGATTTTATAAATTCACATTTTGATACACAAGGATGTTGCCCGAGTAAAAAAATCTGTCAATGATACAATAGAAAAAAAATAATAAACGAATTTATTTTTATTTTTTTATAAAAGATATAGCTGAGATAACAGCCATTGAAGTTATTTTGAGCCCATCTGGGGTTCGCTACGTCAAAACTATGTAGAAAATGTACAAAAGAAAGTAGAAAATCATGGTAGTATTCTTATTTTTAGAGTTCCGTAGTAAACAAGAAACTCTTATAGTTTGGCCATGTCCGTCTGCCCATCCGTCCGCAGTTTAGGACAAAAACTAGAAAGTTGTAATTTAGCAATCGTTAATAACGCCGACAAGTAAAATAAAAGCTCAGTGAAGCTGGATTTTATATTATCATACCTATTCTATTTGTGTTATATTTTTCTTTTAATTTATTTAGGGATTTTGATGCATGTATACATCCCATGTTCATGTGTATAAAGAGATTTGTAAACATGACTTTTTTTAACTGTAAACAGATAATTAATAATGATTTTGGCGCCACTTTACACTGGCGCCCGTGGCAAGTCCGTCTCGCTCTTGGCTGATTTTTTTAGTTGTTAGATTATTTGGATTTTATTCCTTTGCTCAAAATTATAACAAAAATGGCGCCCTCTGCGCGGGTTAAACCAGATGATATGCGTTATTGGATGTGAGAGCATAAAAACAGGAATCGTAAAATTTTTATGGCTTTGATGAGAATAAGATACGATATTTACAGATTTGTTCAATATTTTATAATGCTACTAAGTTATTTTTAGTTCTCATAAGCAAAGGTGCAAAAAATATAATCCTTAATACAATTACACTTTATTAGCATACTCAGAATTCATACTCATTTATAAGCATTATAAATTTTTACATTAATTCACCTCCATAAATATTAAGTCTATTATTTATCTATATCTTCACAATTTGCTATATACGCCGCCCGTTCATCCCCAGAAAAGGCTACATCATAGGGGAATGTGAGGGTAGGTCGCTGGGAACCCATCTATAGCCAGGCTGACTGGCTTTTATGGCATCAGATATAATATTCAATAGAACAAAATCAATTTCATCAAGAAAGATCTTACTTTTATTTCATTCTTTTTTCAGGCTCTATACATGCCGAAACCAACGTAATAAAATGGCTGTGACATATGACAGACATACATGACAAATTTATAAGAGTACAATTTTTGCCATTCGCCTACAGAACCTTTAAAGAGCCTACATGAACTAACTATCTAATTTTAACTTATAAAGTTATATTTAATATATGTTATACGAGGGTCAAACTGAAAGTTCTTAGAAAATCAAAAACTGATTACATTAGCCAGTTATTAGTTTTATTATATCTTTTCAAAATATTGTCCATTCACGTCAATACACCGCTGCATGCGATGGAACCACTGGGAAAAGCACTTTGCCCACTCGTCCTTAGGGGTCTCTTCAATGGCATCGCGATACGCAGCCACCGCTTCTTCAGCATTCATAAACCGCTTTCCTTTAAGTTTTTCTTTAATTTTTGGAAATAAATAAAAATCACAAGGCGCGAGGTCGGGGCTATACGGCGGGTGACCCAGTAATTCAACGTTTGATGTCGCCAAATAGTCGATCGTTCGCTTGGCGGTGTGCGACGAGGCGTTGTCGTGGTGAAGGAGGATCCTACTGCGAGGTCGTTTCTCTCGAACTTTTTCCAAGACAAGTGGCAAACAATTGGTAGTGTACCATTCTGCAGAAACTGTTTTTTGATCCTCTAACACAATTGTTGCAAAATGACCTATCCTTCCAAAGAACGAGGCCACCATTTTTTTTCCCGCACTTCGATCTCTCTTCACTTTAGTTGGCAACTCCTCGAAAGGAAACACCCACTGAGCAGATTGTCTTTTGGTTTTAGGATCATAACAGTAAAACCAGCTTTCGTCACCTGTTAGTATGTCGAACACAGCATTTGAGTCACCTCCGTTAAATCTTTCAATCATTTTACGACACCAATCCACACGATGGAGTTTTTGAGCCTCAGTCAAATTATGAGGTATCCACCGGGCGCAAAGCTTCCTGACCGCTAAATGTTCGTGGAGGATTTTGTGCACTTGACTCATACCGATGCCTAAGCTTGTCCGAATCTGTTGATAGGTCACTCTTTTGTCAGTCTCTATCATACGCCGCACAACACAGATGTTATCTTCAGTCGTCGCCGTAGAAGGCCGTCCCTCACGTAAATCATCAGTGAGATTAGTGCGACCACGTTTAAACTCATTAAACCAGTTGTAAACAGTCGCACGAGATGGGGCTTCATCGTGAAAGGCCAATCGTAGTCTATCATAACTTTCTTGTTGACTTAAATGACATCGAAAGTCATAAAAAATCATTGCACGAAAATTTTCTCGTGTTAAATTCATGATGACGTGACACAGACAATTTTCAATTTGCCGCCAAATCGTAAAACAAATGACAAATGAATGAAATATATACTCAGTAATATTGGCAAAGAGTTATATTTTCAAATTTTAGAATTATTTTTTTATTATATTGTTTATAAGTGGCCAGTTCTAAGAACTTTCAGTTTGACCCTCGTATAGCACCATTATTAGTTTATATTTGCTCCTCAAGCTAGAGTCTTCAAGTGGCTTAAAATTATGTGTGGATATCTCTTATACCCAGATGTTTTTACTGTAACTCATAAACAACTCTTAAAATAGATATGCAGACCTAATCACTTGTCAACAAGTATGGTTTAGTAATTTGTTTAATGATATATGAGAATGTTTTAAAATCTTAGGTAATTTAAGAATTGTCTTAAGTGTTGTAGTACAATTATTTCAAATGTATCTTAATCCTGCATGCATATTGAGCAGTACTACAAACAAACCAATGCAAAAGCCAATAATTTACATTATGAAAATTGAGTATAATTTGGGCAATTCAACTGGAAAATATTCATAATATGTATTGGTACCATAATAAATTACTATCTACTACATATTATAATTTGATCTAAGATAATAATAAACCTGAGCTACCCAAATTAAAATACAAAAGTTTTGCAGAAGAATAAGCAAAACAAATAGGATAATATAAATTAAATTTAGACTAGGTAAGTCTACCACTAAATAAAATAAGCAAAGAAAAGAGAGAGATAGGAAAAAAAATTTCAAATAAAAGAATTTTCATTTTCATTCATTTTCAGAGCACAAAAATAGAATCAATGAGGGAATGAACCTACTGTCTACAATAAGTTTCGTAATTTACTTTTAATTTTTAAAGGATTATAGTTTCATTGCTAAAGAATGTTTTCTAATGTGCAGATACATTTGGGCACTTAAAAGAAACAATAAAAAGTTTGACCTATTTTTATTTGTTAAAAATTAACAAAACCACAAAGATGAAGTCTATAGAGATTGAACCTACTTTACAAATGTCAATATTTATATTTTCAACCTGAATGGCAATCTATCAACTTGTCAATCAAAACTCTATACACTGCTTGCATTAAATTAAGTAGCTTTATTTAATAAATATGCAAACTAAACAATATAATATCGAATGATTAATTAAAATATAAATTGATAGCTTCAAATGAACTTCAGATAATATTTTAATTAAAATTTGATTAGGTATGTTGAATTAAAAAAAAATAGACTTTGTTGATTATAATTAGATTATGTTGCATTAATAATAATAACAAGTAGGTAAATAGATGACAGAAAAATTAATTTTTACAGGGTAGATTCAGTGGTTGGAACAATTGCTAAGTTTACAAATATAATCACAAATTGTTCTCATCCAAATTTATAACTGTAATTCCTTTTTATGTCCCCAAGATAGCTTTGAGATGCAAAGTTGTATAGTATACTTTATTTTGATAATTATAAAAGCTATGCTATGACATATTATCATATTGAATAGAATTTTATTTTTATTTTTTTAATAAAGATTGCATGGTACATCATTTTATAGATAGAACTACCATGCAAACTGCAACAATTTAAACAAGTACACATTATAATTAATCTTTTTTTAACACAATGGGAATAGGCAACCGCCGCTATCTGGAACTATACATCAAACAAAGTTGGCATACTCAGCAAATCCCTCCAATGTGCCCTATCTTATCAGGCGAGTCCCGTTTGAATTCCTAAGAAGAAATTTTATCGTGTCTGGGAGATATGCTACAGCGTTCAAATATTCCTCTAAGGCACTTTATAACAATCACAATGTAGCAAAAAGTGTTGAGTGAGTAAATTAATTCTGATAAGATTAGAAACCGGGGCTCAGAATTAATTTACCTATTGCGCCCTACACTAGAGTAATTTGGGTTGCATTAGAAACATAAATGATAATAAATGTATAAGTCTGTTTAATTCTAAGGTTGCAGGCATTTGCATCAAGTTTTTGGATCGATTTGACAAACATGCGGGACGCTAACTTCCAAATTAGCCGGCATAATAATAATACAATACCTAAGAATCTTATCATTTGATATATGATTCTAGAGTAAATATGGGATTTTATTATAATAAATGAAATATATAGAACACATATGAATAACAGATATTTTTAAACATGCAGACTTACCAGCAACAACTGTATCACTCAAGTCATATTTCACGGGTTTGGGAAAATCTCGTAGTTTACGTCCACTCAACTTTAATTCACCACTCAAATAAGCATCTTCGAGAATTCTTTCTAATGATTTTGTTAGTTGACTGTGAATATTATTGTGCCCATTCATATTTACACTCACACACGGGCCCAACACGGCCATATTCCATCAGCCGCAAAATATGACTGACAATTTTTAAAAAGAGTAAATTTGTCTCTGGTTTTATACAGACATTTGATTGGCGGTGCGGAATTCGAAAATCGCAGTTATCTTCATATCAGTATCTATTATTTGTGGTTCAGAATAGAGTTGGGTTATACTAGGTAAATTTGATACGATAGATAGATGTACCTATCCCTAGTATTATTTAGTAATCGATCCAAATACCTAATACTTATTAGCTATTGCGTTTGCCTAAATACAAAAAAAAACTTTATTACATTGTATTAAAGTTGAATATTATGATATGGAGAAAAATACTAGATGGGAATGACACATACATGCAAGTGTGATCTCTAAATCTTAGTACAGGGGTGAAAATCGTGTGATTTATAGAAATACTTAGTGGATCAAGTTTTTATCCAAGTATAGTGATATACATACTTAGTACGTGGATCTGTTCTAGTAAATACCCCTCACCTCACTTGATATAGGTCAGATACTAGCGAACGTATACGCGTACGCGCCTTTCCATTCTATACGAGGCCAAAACCCAGTGGTATGAAATTAAGGTCTTTCAATCAATACAAGACTAGTACGTAAATATTCTTGTACACTTCATAGTGGCTTCACTTATTAACTTGTTCCATAATATACATTACCAGTACACATACGGACTAATTGTATATGGATAAGTACGTCGACCCCTAAATTCCTATATCTATACGCAAGCAGAAACTGATGTACCCATAGATATGCATGACTATTGATAATGTTACAATATCAGCCACTGACCATTCTGAAGATTACGTTTTTCTCGAATTTCAATCACCGGAGCCAGACCAGATTTCGAAGAGGATCACATTCACACGGTATGGCAGAATAAAAAAAAAAAAACAGAATAATCGGCCCTTCTGTTTAGCATTTGTGGACAATGAAAAAGCATTTCACTCAGTCGAGACCTGATCTATTCTGGAATCCTTGGATCAGTGCCAAGTTGATTGGCGGTATACACAAGTGTTGAGGTATTTTTAAAATGCCGCAACCAACGTCATCCATTATTAACAATTTGAGAGATTTTATATCCCACAAATTGTTCACAAATGCAATGAAGAATGTTACTAGGTATGCCAAATCGCTTGAAATTTTGTCTCAATAAAGCCCTTATGTATACAAATACACTAGTTTTTGTTGTAGTCAAAAATACCTAGTAATTTTGATTTTATATGCATTCAAAGTTTCGAAAAATATCGAATCCCGCTAACAGCCACGTGACCGCTTGTGACGTCATGTCACAACGCGCCGCGCCCCGCTTAGTATCAAGTCGCCAGCGGTTATAGTAGATATAATAGCTTGCGCAGTATTTTGTTGTGTTTTCGCCCGTGTATTAAGTTAATAGTCTAATAATATTAAATATTATTCGATTAATAAAATAGACAAAGGATTCGAAAAAGGGCAATCGTATAATCTACCTAAAATAAAATAAAAGTTGCGCATTATTTATTAACAAATAGTAATTTCGTTGCCGCCGAAATGCGAGGAATAAAAATGCATAGGTAAGTAAACTTTCCTTGCTACTGCTGATGCTTAATAGTTTATCTGTTCTAAATTGTTTTATCAAAACAAAATACGCAACTAATGTCGTAATGGAAGAATGCAACACAAATAGTAGAAGTACCTACCTATCATTAAATTTTTACGTTAAAGACAAATATGTATAATAGTTTTGTAGCTATAGGTAGGTACGTATGTATATATAGGTACCGCTCTTAGAAAATTTAAATAAATACATACATTGATTTATTGCAAACTAGCTTCCGCCAACAGCTTCGCCCACGATTCCCTCGGGAGCTGTACATTTTCCCAGGATTAAAAGTAGCCTATGTGTTATTATTACAGACTTCGTCCAGATCTGTTCAGTAGTTTTTGTGTGAAAGATAACAAACAAACACACACACAAACTTTCCCATTTATAATATAAGTAGGAAGTAGGATAGGTACCTAGGATGTAGACGTAGTGGGTTAAACGTTACAGATGTACTAAACCTTTGTATTTTTTTAGTATTTTTTTACTAACAAAATACTTAAGGCCATTTTATTAAATTATTTTTTTGTTGCAAATATAGAAGTTTGAACAGATGTACTAAACCTTATTTATTTATTAGTATTTTTTTACTAACAAAATACTTAAGGCTATTTATTTTTATTTGAAACATTTCAGATCGGCAAGAAACATCTGTGGCAATGATGCTATTGGTTATGTTCAAGTTAAAAGAGTAGGTGATGTATGTACGGTTAAATGTAGAATCACGCCAGAACACCGCGTACGTACCACACCTTATCATTGCAGTTTAGAATGCAATGAAAAGGATCAAGAAGTATTGAATGTAACCTGCGAAGATTGTGCCGCCAGCAGAGGTGGCTGTAAACATACTGTAGCATTTTTAATGTGGCTACATCGTCGAAACGAAGAGCCTTCAACGACTGCTACCAAGTGTTATTGAAAAAAATCTAAGCTCTCAGATGTTGGTACCACACTGAAAATTATTAAAGCTAAAGATTTTGGCACAAGTGGTATAACACTTAATTTAGCCGGTCAGAATGAAATTTTTTTTTTTGACAAAGTAGCATTAAAATTTTATATGTGAAAAAAAAAAGAGGTTGAAAAGATGTCTATTTATCATAAAGATGTCTATAAAACAACTTTCCCGGCGAATTAGTAGTTGTATTTTTACATTTAGGCACAACACATGATTTCCTAGTATTTGGATTGGACATTTTTAAAAGTATTTAGGTAAAATTTCGACGACACGGGCGCGCGACTGCGAGCGGACTAAGTGAGCCAGACTGTGCGTGTTGTGCAATGACGTCACACCGTCACCGGCAGCCCGCGTCGTGCGGTTACAACTTGTTTTACTTCTAAATCGGAAACTAATTGTCGTATCGAAGTAATTCATTCACTAGTATTTTTTATTTTTGACAAAGAATATGGAGTGCTAATAAAAAAAAATTGTTAACGTTCTTCATTAAAGGATATGTTTAAGACTCAGGATCGGTACAGGCGTGGTAATAACATAAATAAATAAATACCTAATAATAACGATAAGGACCTCAGAGATGCCGACAACTTGAAACCGGCGTGCGAACCACTTGCTTGCGATTTGCTGACGACATAGTTCTCATGGCTGAAACGTTGCAGCCTCTACAGCAGATGCTGAATGATCTGAATGGCTCTTCATTGCGCATCGGGTTTCTGATGAATTTGGTTAAAACGAAAACAGATTTCAAGAGAGCTGTGTGTATAGCATCTTAGTTATTGAAAGCGTAGGAGACACTGGTGTTGAAGCTGGTGGCTGTACTGGTAATGTTGGCAATGGAGAAGGGGAATGTATATAATATGACTGTGGAGACGGCGTTAGTGTGAATGACGTACAAGATCCGTATCCTTGACCATGAATTTGTGGTTAGAATGGTTGAAAAGGTTTGACTTTTTGTTAAATATTCATAATTTCTGTCTTTCTATCATTGGATTTTGCTATTTTAATATGGGATTAGAAACCAATCGTTCTAGTTAAGTATTTGTTTCTAATTTAAGTCTATCGCAATCATTTTTAAAGGTGTAATGATTGTGATAGCGTTTTTTTTGGAATTTTTCAAGGTTTAAAATCGCTTTTTGATTAAAAGATGTTTGGAATGATCAAAAGATTCATAAAAACTTACTAAACTTAAAGTAATAAGTTTAAATGATATAATATAAGTATGTCATAACAAACTCGCAAGTTTGATTTTTACTTTAGTTTAATTTAAACTTGCTGCAAGTTTGTAAAGTTGCCATGGGAAACTTGAAGCAAGCTTTCATTTTTGATGTATCAAACTTGTTGCAAGTCTGAAACAAGTTTAAATTGCTATCTGGGATTATTTGCTGAAGGCAGGTTTTACTAAATAATGTAACAATTGGCAGCCTTATCGCTTAAAGCGATTTCTTCCAGGCAACCATGGGACGGAAAGAAAAATGGAAACATTAGAAAGATCCAAATAATCTTAATTAAAAATAGATAACATAATATGTACTAAATCTATGCATAAAACGTAACACACAATATACATACACACAAACATACATTACACACATAAACTTACATATATATTATGCAATACCAGGAATAGTTAAAGTCGGTAGTAGCAGGATATTTTATTGTGAAAGGTAGAATTCCTTTACACTATTTTTAAAAAATTGTAAAGATTTCGCTCGCCTTATAGAAACTGGAAGGGAATTCTAGCGACGAGCAGCTTGTACAGTGAAAGAAGAATCGTAAAAAGAGGTACAGTGAGATGGAATCTCAAGACACAGGTTATCCGATGATCGCAATATGTAAGAAATAGCGCAGTGCAGAAAATTGAAACATTCTTTGAGATAATGAGGCTAAGTGGTATTGAACAAAATATTGTAGAGAATTACGATATTTTAAGGTACATACTGTCTAGTATTATAAAATACTTAGTACCTAGACCTGTTCCACCTAGTAAAAACGCCTCACCTCTAGTCTCATGTGAATACTGTCAATATGACAAAGATATGTCAGCTATTGAACATAACCTCTTTACAATCATTTAAAACTTAAAAAAGGTACGGCACGGCAGAATTTGAACGTTTTAATTTATGAAGAGTTGCAATTATATGCTGTGATATTAGTTTAAAATACATAACTTACCAATATGACTATATTTAACGTACTTCGTGCAGCAAATGTGTTTAAAAATAGCAATAAAACATTGTCACAAATCGAGGTAAATTAATTATATTAATACTATTTTACGTAATCATAATATTTTAAGTAAAATCTTTAAGCTTTTACTACGCTTATATATTGTGAAACTATTGTGTTCAGTTTTGGATATTCACTGAAAAAAAAAACTGGTCTTCGAATAGGTAGTGTCATAAGTTCTTCTTCTTCTTCTTTTTAATTAGAAGAAGAAGTTCTTATAATAATAATAATAATAAGCCTTTATTCAGAGAATCATTAAATTTACACAAATTACAAAATTACACAAATATCTTGTTTAGTCACATTATTTAATTTATGCTTATATATTTTTGTTGATATTGAATTGAATTATTATTATATTTATTTATGTCACTGTTAGATTTTTTATTTCAATATTTAATAATTTGTTTCGTTGGTTAACTCTGTTTGTCTTTTGGCATAGGCCTCCCCCAATCTTTCCCAATTTATTTTATTTGATGACAATTTAGCCTATGTCACTCCTGCAGTTTTTGCTAGTACGTCTGCCCATCGTCTTTAATGCCACCCTCTCTTTCTTTTCCTATCTCTGAGTATCCAATTAACTATTGTTTTATTCCACTTTTCTGTGCCACTTATAACATCAAGTGGAGGTGGGCAGGTAACTGCAGGTAACTGGGCAGGTAACTTTTTTATTACCTTTTCAGTGACATTTATCATTTTGGTCTTTGCTCTAATTGGAGAATGCCTTAATTTTTGCATTTCCAAAATACTTAACATGCTTCTTTCCATCACTCTTTGGCAAGTCCTAATTATTCGCAGATGGGATCTATAAGTAAGAATGGGGAGTATGCAAGTATTGAAGAGTTTTCCCTTTAAGCTAGCAGGGAATGTTTTATTTGTTAACTGGTTTCGTTGCATGGGTCTTATACCTCGGGCAGGAGTTGAAAATCAGTGTTTTGCTCTCTTGGAGAAAATATATCGCTGAACTTTTGCCTTTTTGCATGGCTGTAACTCACACGCAAGAATAAGATTATAGATTTAAGTTCTTAGATTAAGATTTAATTGTTTCTTATATTTAATATTGTATCTAGGCATGTAAGGTGATGCAAATAAATACTATATCTATCTATCATTTTCCATGATTTCCTTTAGTGACCAATAGCTCTTCCAGGCTCTACTTATTCTTGTTTTGATTTCTTTATCTGTCATGTCTAGTGATGAGATGATTTGTCCCAAGTACTTATATTCTTCTTTACTCACCAAAATTGGAAGTTTGATTCTATTCGTCACGACCATGGTTTTGGACATATTCATGGCTAACCCCACTTTTCTGCATTGCTCTTTAGGCGCTTCTACCATTTTTTGTAGGTTGTTAGTACAGTCTGAAAATATAATGAGGTCATCAACAAATCTTAAGTGTGTCAGCCTCTGACCATTTATTTTAATGCCATATTCCTCCCAATCCAGTTTGCGGAAAATACCCTCTAAAAAGCTTTGGAGACAATGGGTCACCCTGCCAAACTCCTCTTTTTATTGGGAACTCCGCTCCTTCCCTATCCAATCTCACTCTTGCAGTACTATTTTGGTATAATTTCATAATTCAAAATGTGGAGTGATCCAGAGAATCGAATGCCTTATTATAGTCCATAAAGCAGCAGTACAAGGGCATGTCATATTCTTTTGATTTTTGGAATAACTGTTTTACTACCAGAATATGATTGATTACAGAGTAGTGGCTATGGAATCCTGCTTGCTCCCATGGTTGGTTCTCGTCAAGGACTTTTGTTATGCAATTCAGTATGAACTTAAATACTACACATATTTGACAGTATGCTATCTATAGTTTCCAATCTCATTTCTGTCTCCTTTTTTTGTAAAGAAGAGTTATTGATGATCTGAGGAAATACCGCAGCAATGGACTACTTGCTGCGGTATTTTCTCGGACGTGAGAATTTCATTAAATAAATTGGTGAGTAGAGGTGTCATTAAAGCTTTATTTACCAACAGAAATTCATTGCTTATTTTATCAGACCCTGTAGCCTTGCCTTTCTTCTGAGATTCATACTTGCCAGTGAAGTTCAAAAAGCAATTGTTTTTGAACTTCACTGGCTAGTATGGCCCAAACCTCTTCTGAAAGAAATGTATGATGTTGTTTGTTTGAAGCTGTGTCTTGCTTTGTGTAGTGTCTGGTAAAATTTTGTGGCAATTTCAATTATGTCTGGTCGGTTCCTTTTATCTTTACTTGATGAGTTCTTGAGAGATGGTATCAATTCCTTTGCTCTTTCCACAGACTTCCAAGCACTCGTTACACCACCTCTAGCCTTTATTATGTCTTCAAATATTTTCATACAATGTTGTTTTGTATCCTGCCTCATGCTAAAATTGATGTCTTTACTGATTTTGGTTATTTGTTTGGTAATCTCGCCGGTCTTGTTTTTGCATTCGATTAGCAAGGATCTTCTGTAAAGTAGATCCTTTGTGTTGCTGGAAAGATGTGAAGCTGTTAAATGATTCTGCATTTTCAGATGGTTGGTGCACTATGTAATAAGGCAGTCGTATTTATTCTGGATTGTGGGTCTGAAAGTATACCTTTTAGATAATTTCCCATTGGTTGATTTAGTCTCTGCTGCCAGGGTGTAGCTTTATTATGAAACTTTTTTCTCACAAAGTTTCTTGATATTTTCTGTTTCTCCATCTTTAATTTACATCTCACCATTCTGTGGTTAGTGTTAAAATTGAGCCCCGCAGTCTTCTTAAGCTTTAGGTTTGTTTGTCAGTATGTAGTCTATTTCGTTTTTTATTTTGCCGTCAGGTGATATCCACGTCCACCTTCTACTTGGATTCTTTTTGTTGACTGTATTCAGTATTGTCAGATGAAATTCAAGTGCGAAGTCGATTAGGTACTTGCCGTTTCTTGTTCGTTTTAAGTTAAATTTTAAAAAAGCTGTGAACTTTCTATAAGTCGCGTTTTTTTTTCTTTTTAAATCCACACTTTGGACCGTAATAGTCGTTAATTATAATGAGATTTTATCTACAGATCCTTTTGCTATACTGCAGACTTGAGAAAACAATTAATTTTGAAATATGATAAATGTTAAAAATAGGTAATGCATTTGATAATAATGTATAATCTCATCATTATTCTCTTACTTTTGCAAATATATCAAAGGCTCTATGCATGCTCTATAGGACTTTATTGCATGTGTTTGTGTGTCGATTTTACCTAAAGGCAGTTTCAATCTTAGCTCTTCATCAGAATTGGTTATATAAGTGAAAATGTAATCAATATAGTGTATGATGAAACTTCATTTGCAGACTGTAATAATGATACAGTTCTCTTACAAAATTTTAGGGATATTCATCTTATGTCAAATATGCTGAACACAAGCCATTGGAGAAGATCAGAAATATTGGTATATCAGCACATATTGATTCGGGTAAAACAACACTGACAGAACGAATATTATATTATACTGGACGAATTGATGCTATGCATGAGGTAGAGTATAGGCTTCAAATTTCTTTTTAATCTGAAATCAAATACAGAGTTGTGATTTAATATTTAAACTAGAGGAGTTCAAGTAATATTAAATAGATCAATTAAAATGATATTAAAATATATGTGCAGGTTTTATTTGCTAAGATAAAAAAATCCGTTACTTCCTTTAAAATTATGTCACTGTTTTTTCAAAATCCTGTTACTGAATATTAGTAATGTTACTCTTAGCTGTCACTTATTTCATCTATCTATAGTTTGTGAAAATATAATAGGTACCATTAATTTCTACTTTATATTTATTAGGTAAAAGGAAAAGATAATGTTGGAGCAGTCATGGATTCGATGGAGCTTGAACGTCAGAGAGGCATCACAATACAGTCGGCTGCAACATACACAATATGGAAGGAACACAATATCAATATAATAGATACACCCGGTCACGTGGACTTCACTGTAGAAGTGGAAAGAGCACTTAGAGTTTTAGATGGTGCTATTTTGGTTTTGTGTGCAGTAGGAGGTGTCCAGAGCCAGACGTTAACAGTCAACAGACAGATGAAACGATATAATGTGCCGTGCTTAGCTTTTATCAATAAACTTGACAGATTAGCAGCAAATCCTGAAAGGTAATATGTTATTCAAATATTTAATAATCCATAATCAAAACCTCTGTAAAACTCTTATCAAAGCTAAAAAGATAATCATAGTAGTCGCTATTAATAATTTAAATTTACATACATGATTGATACTATCTTATTATTAATATATAAATATCTTAATATACATACAGGAAAGTAACTATCTCAATTTTCAACCCTGATACTTGATGAGTAGTTTAACCAAGTAATTTGAAAAGGAAAATAATATAAATTCACGAAAACTATATATATTTAGCTTTAATAAGAACATGATTTTCAGAGTTCTAAAACAAATGCGGTCCAAACTGAATCACAATGCTGCATTTATTCATTTGCCCATTGGCTTAGAAAAAGAATGCCAAGGAATATTAGATCTTATTGAAGAGAGAGCAATTTACTTTGATGGAGATTATGGAGAGAAAGTGCGTTATGATGAAGTGCCACAAGATAGAAGAACAGAAGTTAAAGAAAGAAGACATGAGCTGATTGAACACTTATCAAATGTTGATGAGACTTTAGGTAGGTATGACCGTTTGCTTTTGAGTATATTGATATTCCATACATCACAAATTTTCTAGAATTACTATATTGTACAATGACAAAAAATGAGAATACAATTCCAGTTTTTATTTATGGTAGTGAATAGTTTTTGTACTATCCAAACATTAATAAATAGAGACAACCAAACATTTACCCTCTCACTTAAGTCAAATGAGGGCTACTGGTTTTTTGTTCACCAGATGGCATGACAGTCGAAAGGGGTCCTGTCAAAGTTTGTTATCTATGAGATTGAACTTAAATCATACATTATAATACATATATAAACGATTTTATATAAAAAAATAGAACTTATTTCAAACTTAAAAAAGCGAAAAATAATACTTATCTCAAATGCATCTTATTCAAGAAAATGCTGTTTAAGTTGGGCAGAGGTTTTTTGTAGGTTATTAATTTAATGATAGGCCCAACTTCAATTCGCTTTTGAGATTATTTTCACTTTTTAAGTTTGAAGTCGGTTCTATTTTTTAATGTTTTTATTTCACACTTTTTAGTAATAATGATATTTTTACATATAATAGGTAACACTCATAATACTTTACTGAAAATCGCGTCAAAACTGTGTTAAAGTGCGAGCCTACATTTTTTAGTCGGTTAATATACCTAAAACCTTCTCCTAGGTTTTCTCCTTCTCCTACATTTTTTTTGTCGGTTAATATACCTAAAACCTTCTAGGTTTTAGGTATATTAACCGACTAAAAAAATGTAGGTTCGCACTTTAACACGGTTTTGACGCGATTTTCAGAAAAGTATTATGAGTCTGACAAATACTGTGCTGAAAACCGCATCAAATTCGGTTTAGCCCAACGCGAGATAATCGCGCACATACAGATTATACTCCTTTTTTTTAAGTCATTTAAAAATATCGAACATGCGCAATAAACACAAATAACTGATTTAACTTTCATCCCTCTTAATTTGCGCTACTTTTTCTTAGCTCTGATTTTAAAGCATTGACATCATTGACCATGATTATTCATTATTGGTATGATGAATGTCAGGTACCCCAAAACAAGCGCCAAAAATTGTTTATTTGTAAAGAAAAGCGCGTCACGTGACACTAGCGCCTTTGATAATGATAATGCAATATCATTGATAATGTTGCAAACCATTAAAATCCGTTTCAACTAAATAATTCCGGGATATTCAATATTTGTCTTACAATAGATCTGACTTCGAAACAGAAAACACGAACATAATTCCAGTGAAATCTAGTATATATACAGCAAACATTCATTTTCAACTCTACCCTAAATGCACTAAGGTTTACACACATTTAAATTACAATTTTTACAAATCTGATCTACTTTCCACCTTTTTGTGGATCAAATCTTCCCTTTTTGACCAAACCAGCTGCTTCTAAAAAAAATATCTGGATCAATAGGCAACATCAATTATTATCAAGTAAACTTTTCACCATTCTTAATCTCCATCCATAATTCATGTTTCTTGATTTATTAAGGTTTTTTCACTGGCCACAATTTCGAGCTAAATTACCTTCTCTGTGGTACCGATAATTTTTTTTTTGATATCTTATATTTTCCCATGTAAATCCATATCCATAAATGAACTTTTAAACACGATAATCAACACCTTAATCTTATGTGAACACGAAACCTGTAAATGGTTAAAAACTCCTATAAAACTAAATACTAATATGATGAAACCATTCTAGAGTTGTTTTATTTATAGATAATATTACATAATAGGAAAACATTCTGAGCCTTATAGTTGAAAAATTTGAATTAATTTCGATTTGTAGGTGAGCTATTTTTAGAAGAAAAAGCACCAACTGTTAGTGACATAAAACAGGCGACACGACGTTCAGTCTTAAAACGCGCCTTCACACCAGTACTTTTGGGAACTGCTTTAAAAAACAAAGGAGTACAGCCTCTGTTAGATGCTGTATTGGATTACCTCCCCAACCCCGGTGAGGTGGAAAATACCGCCATTTTAAATGAAAGAAAAGAAGGGAGCGGGGAAACTATACTCCTGGATCCAGCGAGAGATGGCAAAAAACCTTTTGTTGGATTAGCTTTCAAGTTGGAGGTCAGCAAGTTTGGACAGTTGACGTATTTGAGATGTTACCAAGGCGTCTTGAAGAGGGGCGATACCATATTTAACGCTAGAACAGGGAAAAAGGTTTGTGTTTGTTTTTATTTAAGTGTATTTTGTAATTGCAATTCCAAAGTTTTGATAAACACATTCAGTTCTTATCGATTTTTATTCAATATTTTAGTTACTTTCTATATTTTACTTTTCTAAATAAACTCACATTAAGGATAGTAACCTATATATTTTTGACATTATCATAATATGGATATACCTGCATTGTTTGATTTCAAATATAAATACGAGGGCGGGATGATAAATAGCTAGCCTAGCATAGAAAAACTTGAATTAGTGTTTTAAAAGTATATTTATTTTTCGACATAGTCTCCTTGAAGCGCTATGCACTTCATCCATCTATGTTCTTAAACCTTGATGCCATCCCACCTCGATATTATTTTCAAATCTTTGTCCACCTAAAAAATTTTTGAGCTTAGGGAATAGATGAAAGTCAGATGGTGCCAGATCAGGAGAATAAGCTGGGTGTGGTAGCAAATCATAATTTAATTCTTTGAATTTCGCCATCGCAGTGATGCACGTTGAACGCGCGCATTATCCTGATGAAAGATTATATTTTTTTAGCCAGGCCGTGTCTTTTTTCACGAATACACACTTGTAATTTATCCAGTAGGTAAGCATAATATTCGCCATTTATGTTTTGTCCTTTTGGAAGGTAATTAATCATCAATATACCCTTCGAATCCCTAAATACTGACGCCATGACTTTCCCCGCTGATTTCACAGCTTTTGCTTTCTTTGGAGCCGGGGATCCTTTTTCCGTCCATTGTTTAGACTGAATTTTTCATTCAGGTATATAGTGGTGAACCCAAGTCTCGTCTGTTGTAACAAACCGTCGCAGAAAATCAGTTGTATTGCTCTTAAAGCGGTCCAAACATTCTTGTGAACGCGTTTTTGGTCAACTGTAAGCAATAGTGGCACCCACCTTGCGGATAATTTTTTCATCATAATTCTAAGTCAAGATGTAATACGTTCATGCCCGTTCTTTAGAGATGCCTACAGTATCAGCTATCTCTGAAAGTTTCAATCTTCGGTCAGCTAAAACTGCATCATGAATTTTAATCACAATTTCTGGAGTAGTGGCACTTTTTGGACGTCCTGGACGATGTTCATCTTGGGCGCTGGTACGGCCACGTTTAAATTCAGTCACCCAATTTTTTATGGTCGCATATTAAGGAGCATTTTCTCCCAAAATATCCTTCATCTCCGAAAAAATCTCTCCACCTTTTAATCCTTTTAAAAGCAAAAACTTTATCACAGCTCGTAGCTCAATTTTATCCATTTTGCAGAAAAAACAAAAGAATGCGATACGATACGATCGATTTGAAATTTGGAACACTGGCAGCTATTGAACCAATGAGTAAAATACTAAGGAGATTTTTTATCATTATTATACAAAATATGGGTTAGGCTAGCTATTTATCATCCCGCCTACGTACATTTAGAAAATATCTTTGATAAATATTTTTGCCTATCAAATTCTATGTCTTTATATGAACTTGTTTCTTCAACTTCTAGATAAATTTTTAATTCCTTCTTATCCATATTAGCCTATGTGTGTACGACATTGATCCAAGATAAAACTAGTTAAAGAAAATATTGTTAGTACAAAATATTATTTATTTGTTGTTGACCCTGTTTCTTACATCTAAGATGATTGATTTTATATAATATTTTTCTATAATTTAAGGAATACAATTACTCATAGGGGTGTATACAACGTTTTTATATTCATGAAACATATCTAAAAATACATTAAAAAGTATTATTAATATAATAAGTTAATATCTAAAAATAAGTGTAGCTTTTAAAATTTTCGCTGTGACGTCACGGCCTTCAAAAAACTATAATAAAAACGCATAAGTTTGAATTCTCTAAGTTCTGATATGAGTAAGAGGGGCGTGACGTCACGCGCTGTTTGCGGCCACGTGACAACGAGCACAAAATGATTTTTTTTCATAATCAATTTAAGCAACATTTAAACACAATAATAATAAAAATATGATTATCGGTAATATTAAAGACTAACAGAATAAAAAAATGTATTTATTGCAGGTCAAAATCTCTCGTTTGGTCAGAATGCACTCAAACAACATGGAGGAAGTGAACGAAGTGTACGCAGGCGATATATTCGCATTATTCGGCGTCGATTGTGCGTCCGGAGACACGTTCGTTAACGATAACAAGCTTGAGCTATCATTGGAATCTATCCATGTGCCTGATCCGGTCGTTTCGATGTCGATCAAACCAAAAAATAATAAAGACAGAGACAACTTCTCCAAAGCAGTTGCTAGGTATGTATATTATTTGAAAGAAAACTAGGCTACTAAAAATGTATCGATAGTTTCAATCGGAATAATATATTAACAAAACTGTCAAATTTATTAGATCAATTTTACTCCTTATTACGTTGACAGCAGAGTCTAAAAATCAATTGCAAAAATTTGACATGTAATAGTCTTTTTAAACTCTGCTATGTATGCATTTACAATAAATTTACATATAATTTTAAATCTGCTATGTATGCATACATATTACTATTAAAAGTTCAAAAGTATTAAACCAGCAATTATTGACTTAAAAATGTATATATTATGTATGTAAATAAAGTAATTAATCACTATTACAACAGCTACTATATAAATCAGTAATAGTACTGGTCTAGATATGATATTGATCATGTGTGTCTTAGATTTACACGATTTTCATCCTTAGTACTTACATAATAAGATCTATAGTGATCTCAGTTGACTAAATACCGAAACACATTAAAACTGCTCCTGTAGGTTTACCAAAGAAGATCCAACATTCCAATTTCGCTACGATCCAGATAATAAGGAGACCTTAGTGTCTGGAATGGGGGAGTTGCATTTAGAGATTTACGCGCAGAGAATGGAGAGAGAATACAACTGTCCTGTCGAATTAGGCAAACCGAAAGTTGCATTCAGGTGAGTTACAAACTGATTTCACTATTCACTCAGGCCTTCCTTATGGATGGTTAAGGGGGATGGGCCTTGAACATGATAAATAGATATTCGAGGTTTGAATACGGGTGTAGACAGTATATGAAAATAAATAAATATGTATGCAAAATTAGAATACTGATATTTCAAATAACGATCTTAGAAAAATTATATAATTTTTCAAAAACATACACATTAAAACATTTTTTTTAATGGATAAATTTATTAATAAGTTGTTAATTTGGTTTGTTAGAGAGACACTAATGTCGCAGTGCGCGTTCGACTACCTTCATAAGAAACAATCTGGTGGTGCTGGACAGTATGCCCGGGTCACTGGCATTATGGAACCACTGCCGGCCCATTTAAACACATGTAAGTTATTAATTTTAATTAGAAGTGCTTTAATGAAAATGTAGAATATCATTACCACCAGCCTATTATTGCTTCCACTACTACTGGACCTCAGGCCTTCCTTATAGATGGAATCGAATTGATCCGGGATAATGGGCCATAGATATCGGGCATAGTGCGGAGTAGTGGGTATTAACGATTGCATATGCAGCGAGACCAACGGTTTAAAATGCTTTCCGAGGCGAGGAGATTGAGATCAAAAAAATTGGTCACCCATCCTATGACCGGCCATTGCAAATGTTGCTTCTCGGAACTACATATCAGAAAATTGGTAAAATTAATAAAATTATTTTTCATTTTAAACTGTGATTTTTTATAGCAGAAACGTACACATCCCTATTGTTTAATGGGGAAGTTTCATGATGTTGATATTATTATATTTAATACAATATAATAAAAATATAGGTCAAAACTAAATTAAAATATGTAACTTACCATTTCCTACATTCTTCTTTAATCAACAAAGTAGAAATTTTGCTTGAATGTTTCATGTTGTTTTAAATTTTCTTGGTTATTAACATCAGAATGATTCCTAAAATCGAGATTGCAATCGTTCCGAATATGATACATCTTGAAAGGTCAGTTTAATAGAATTCAGTATTTTTTTTTTGTATAATAGTTAAATGTAATGAACATTTGAAGTAAGCTCCATCTTAAAGAAACAAGTTTTAAATAGACATTCTAGGACGTCATCAGTCCACAAACAAGAATTATTGGGTCAGGTTTAGCTTAAGCATATTTATACTATACTAGCTATCCTCCCGCGTGGTCCTGTATTATACACATAAAACTTCCTATTCAATCACTCTGTATATTGATGAAACCGTATTGAAATCCATTGCGTGACAGCGGAAGGCGAATTTGTTTTATGCTAAGTTTGTAATACGGGCGTAGACTGTAATTTAATTTTTAATTAATATACTATTACCGATATTCGCACTTTTATGCTTATTATATTTATAATATTGCTTAATTATGAAAAAAAAAAAACATTTTATAGTCGTTGTCACGTGACCGCAAACAGCGCGTCCCGTCGCGCCCCTCTTACTTATATCAGAACTTAGAGAATTCAACCTTATGCATTCTTAGAACGATATTCGTTTCAGAGTGCCGTAACGTCAGAGCGACGCCATGACAGAAGAGGCGATTTCGCGGGAAATTTTAAAAACTTAATGTATTTTTAGATATTAACTTATACTAGGAATGATATTTTTTACATATATTTTTTAGATATAAAAAATAGTCTTCGCCCCTATTAAGAGATAAATATTAACTTTTTTCCTTACAGTGTTGGAATTCTCCGACGAAACTGTCGGCACGAACATACCAAAGCAGTTCGTTCCTGGTGTCGAGAGAGGTTTTCTCGACACATGCCAGAAAGGATATCTGTCTGGTCACAAAATATCTGGCGTGAAATTCCGGTTACAAGATGGCGCCCACCATATTGTGGACTCGAGCGAACTCGCCTTCTTCTTGGCTGCTAAAGGGGCAGTTAAAGACGGTAAGTTATTTAAGATAGAGTATTTTATTGTAGACGGACTATTTATCTTAGATGGATGATTTTACCTTAGATGGACTGTTGTACCTTAGATGGACTATTTTACCTTAGATAGACTATTTTTTGCCATAGATGGGCTATTTTACCTTAGATAGACTATTTTATTTGAGACGGAATATTTTATGTTAGATGAACTGCACAATATTTATAAAAAATATCTAAATTTCACTCAAACTTTTCAATATGACATTGGAGCTGAGTATTGTTGTGTGTGTTTTTAATGTCTAATTTCAAAATCTAACTCATTCCCTTACAAAGATATAGTGAGTGTGATAGCGATTTCTGGAATTATATAACGCTGAAAGCTGCAATTGCTTTTATAACAAATGATGAATTGAATTATCTAGAAACATAATAGAAACCTAGTTTAACCCGTCGAAAGATTGCATTTACCATACAATACTATCTTTTGACATTTGTCAATAGATTTCAAAGATATTTGCATCTTACGCTTACCTTAGAAAAAGGGATGATAATTAAATTTATTTTATCTGTCCTTCAGGTAGATTAATGAAGAAAATTAAACACTTTTTTTTTGCGTAAATAATTAATTTGATACATTGAGTTAAAATGTCACATGACGTCACGCTTTTTTATATTTTCTATAAAGCTGCGACACAACAAACCTCAACTTTAATGCCTTTTATCTTAATGCCTTTATATTCTTGATAAATTGAAGTAATAAAATACTTATTTAATATTTTTTTATTATCCGACTGACAGACTAAATAGAATTTCTTTTTTTTTCCACACAGCCATCATCCTTATTCCAATCAACCTTAAATTAATGATATAGTTAATGCTTGATAATATCTTTTAAGAAAATGTCGCGAATCGCTATCACATGTCAAATAGTTATAGTGTGAAGTTCGTGAATATCTTTCAAATGGCAAATTTTATAATTAAATAATTAGGCCCCTGGTATATGCTTTAACTTATTTTTCAGTAGTCAAAACTTATCAATATATGACGTATACATTAAAATAATAATACATAATGTAATTTTCCTTATGTTTTGTTTAGTTTTCGAGACGGGCGCTTGGCAAATCCTCGAGCCAATAATGTTCGTGGAAGTAGTTCTACCTGATGAGTTTCACGGTAATATAATTGGACAGTTGAATAAGCGCGGTGGCATAGTAACTGGCACCGAAGGCGCGGAGGGATGGACCACTATATACGCCGAAGTACCATTGAATAATATGTTTGGATATGCCGGTGAATTGAGGTGAGTTTGTATACAATGATCATCACGTAAATTGCTCGGTCGTCACATCACTCATAGGGTTTTAGCACTGCAGGGCAATTCCGCTAATATTAGCGTAATTATGGAAAGTCTAGCGCTTCAACTACTACCCTTTATGACACAGTTCTTGTTACCTGATTCATCATCATCAGCAGCCTTGTTACGTCCCACTCTCTTGTCACTGTAGGGGCTCAGGCCATCCTTGTGGATGGTTAAGGAGGACGGGCCATGACCCTCCACGCTGGCCCAATGCGGATTGGAGGGTATTAACGACTGCAAATGCAGCCGGGACCAACGGCTCAACGTGCCTTCCGAAGCACGGAGTAGATAATATTTTTTTTTGGTCACCCATCCCGTGACCGACCCTTGCGAAAGTTGCTTAACGACAACGATTGAGTGCCGGGGCGCTTATCCATTACGCCACCGGAATCTGGAGTAGCTTCCAGATTTCTAAATAATAAATCTGTCACCTTTGATATGTGAGTGAAAATTGAGCTTATAATATTGGACTTCATATAGTACAATGACATAATGCAAAATTACATTGAGATGCGAATATTTTTTTTCTCTCTTTATTTTGGTACAAACAGTCATTACAATAAAGTGACATGACATTTTTTATTTAAGCTTAAAAAGACAAATAGTACCCAGAATTTCCTACAAACAATGCTTATGTTTAGTTAAATGTAACAGTTTAAGTGTACATTATTATTTGTTAGGTCTTTATAGTTTATGATTTGAATCTAGCGATAGTGTTACTAAACAAATCTTAGTCCGAGAATTCGTAGTTGTTTAGATTATGTAATATTCAGATTAATATCACGTGATACGCATCCGGGAATTTGCTGATGGCGACATTTTGTAGAGGGCGTGCGGTCTACACGGCCATTGGTCGTCAAATCATAGAGACTTAAATAAACTACGCTATAGGAGGTGGTTAGTGAGTTTAGTCAACGATGTGGAAGTAAAGCCACTTTTTTAAGGACCAGCCATAGGATGGGTGATCAAAAGTTAATTATCTTGACCTCTCCCGTGCTTTGAATGGCACATATGCTATCACAGCTGCATCCGTAGTCGTTACCACCCACTAATCCACACGGTGGGTAGGTTCATCCATATGTTTAAAATTTTGTAATCCAACGGTCAGGGTATTATGGGGCTTATTATAAAAATGATGTCAGGAGGTCGATGGCGCAGTGATTATCTCTGTCGGTGTGCGAAGTCGGATGTTAAGCAACTTTCGCAATGACCAGTTATAGGATGGGTGACCAAAAAATTGTTATCTCGAGCATTTCTGTACCTATGTTAAGCTACCCGATTGCATCTGCAGTAGTTATTGCGTAGTTATAGCCCATTCTACCTATTCGTATCCATAGAGATCTGAGCCCGTCAGTGGGGATATTAATGACGATGGACGATGCCAAAAAATATATTTAAAAAATACACGTTTTGTTACAGATCCATGACACAAGGCAAAGGTGAATTCAGTATGGAATACAGCAGGTACTCACCATGCTTACCGGATGTGCAGGAGCAGCTGATCCGAAAGTACCAGGAGGAGATGGGCTTTTTACCAGATCAAAAGAAGAAAAAGAATTAATATTAGCAAACTTTTAGACTTATTTAATTTATAATCGCGTATTTAAATTTAAGATTAATTTTATTGATTGAATTATAAGCGTATAATTCATTTGTTTATAAATGGTTTTATTTAACGTTTTGTATATTAGGAATACTCGTAGATACGATTGTAATCCCGTTCTCTGCCCTGAGCAGGGCTTGAAACCGGTTCAGAATAAACCGTTTTAATTTAGGTAAAACGTGTTCTCTTGTAATGTTCCGTTCCGGATCGGAACTAAATGCGGAGTGAAATTCGGATGGAATAAAAACCGGTTAATTCGCATGGTTCGTAAAAAGCAATGTTCTTATGCTTTTAATGCGAATAATATCATTTTTAAGCGACGACATTTATCATAACTGTGTACGGATGTTATAGATATGAGTATAGGCACTTAAAAACCGCGCTGAAGTTTGTGAGATCATTGTCTGGAGTCATATTTAAACCGGTTAATGAAGAAAACCGTATTTCTAATGAAACCGATTTAAAAATCTGTTCAAAGGAGCTTAACCTTTTATGTAAAGTTCCGCATGTACTTACGTCGAACCGGTTCAAAAAATAAACCGGTTTCCAAGCCCTGGCCCTGAGAAGTTCGATGCAGCACTTAAAAAACGTTCGCAACGGCCGATCATAAGATGGGTGACCGTAATTGAATTATTTCTAGTTACTCTGTATTCTGAAGGCCAGTTAAGCCATTGATCCCTGTTGCATCTGCAGTTGTTAACACCCACCAATCCGCATTGGGTCCGCATGGTTAGTTGCGGCCTGTTTTCCCCCTCCTAACTCCATCCGTAGCTTGTCCACCAGCTGATGATTGTCTGCCCTAAAGTCATCATAAATAGATTTAATTTAAAATAAAACAATCTACTACAATACACATTTATAAAAATCCATTTATTCAATTCTCCACAAATATATCCAAAACAATACAAATTGCGTAACAAACATCCTTTCCAGGTACAATCATAATAGGGATGACGACTGGGTAAAAAAAAAAAGTTGATTTTATTTATTCCGTCAGTCAGATAATAGAAAATATTAGATACGTATTTTTTTATTTCAATTTAACAAGAAATAGCTTAGATAACAGACATTAAAGTTGAGGAGTGGGGGCTCGTTACGTCACAGTTGTGTAGAAAATGTACAAAAGCGTGTCGTCGTGTGACACTTTAACTCCAGTTATCCCTTAATATAACGATTGCGGAAAAAATACGTGTTTATATATTTTTTTTAACAATATACCTGACGGACTAACAAACGAAATTTGTCGTCATCCTTACGTTTTACTTAAAAATAATACAGTTTTGATTATAAATTACTTATTCTAGGTTTTCTCTATACTCCTATTATAAACTACCATTATATTTAGGCAGAATTTTATATAATTTAAATCTTTAAATTAAACAAAGCTCCCGAATGACTATTTCCATTGAGTTTGGTAAACGCTATAAAGTTTTAATAAACTACCAAACACTGTACAAAACAAAATAACAGTGGCAAGTGTAAGTTTTACATTAAGGTGTCCACTGAAGTTGTATGGAGAGTGGGAGTTCTTGATAGTAACCGCTAGAGGCGCTGTACCGGATTTCATACTAAAATCTTATGCGCTCACGGTCGACGGAAAAAAAAAACTTACACTATGCGCTCTGAAATAGTCATTAATTGTCATCGAGGACAAATTTTCACGCCAAAGATTTCTATGTATAATAACAAATTAATGTAGTGTAATGATTGATAAATTGGAATCGCAAGGACTAGCCTCAATGGAAATGAGCAGAGGATAGGGTAAAATAGGGACAGGCTACATAAAGTTGAAAATTCACAAATATTAATCGACAGCGTAAATAGTGAATTAAGAAAGAAATCTAGGTTTCTATATTATACGGTGAATAATCGTAAAACCTAAACGATTAATCGCTAATGGTGTTACATTGTTGGCACTTCGTTTAATTTGTATGCAGGTAGGTATAACTCTAACGAATTAAAATGACACCTGAGGGACTTTTCTGTTTGTCCTCCAACATTGGAATAATTTCAAATCATTCTTACAATTTTGTGAAAATCATATCCGTGAAGGTTACCTGTGCATCAGAGGTAGTGTTAGGTCCTACCCCAGTTGCATCATAATGACCGAATAATATACAAATTTCGGTTTCGGACAAATACATTTTTTACGAGTTAGTTTAATCTATTACAATGAGTAACACCGATAAGCCAAAACACTGATTAATAAAATATACTGTCCATATCCGACTTCTATTATTCAACAATTTCGATTGTAAATTGCGATTGAAATTTATATAAAACCTAGTGTTTAGAAAATATTTATAATAGATCCGAATGTTATAAAAGAGATTATACATTATTTATTTGTTATTATAAAAATACAAAAATATTTAAAAATTTTAGAACGCCTAAATAGGGTAACGCATTCGTTTGTTTTTTCAAATGTTTTCTTCATATTTCATGCTAGATATATTGAATAAGATTGGCTATCGGCGTTACTTATATCTGTCGTCATATTTATTATTTTATTCATTCATTAAATCTACCTACTTTTATAATTTATAGAGATTAAAAAGTGGTTTGACGATTTTATTTCAGGAAGTACATGCTTTTATCTTTATACATTACGTATAAATGTTTGCTTACATTTACAGAATTGACCGGGTATGAAAATGCAATCATGTGAATAATATATACGCAACCAAAGTTATATTTGATCTAAGCACGCAGTCATCAAATATCTTGGCACCCTTTCTCAGGCCCGGATCTACGATTTTTTTCTAACCGGGGTAACTTTGTTTGGCGCAATTTTTCTACCCATACCCCTCTACGCTCTGAAAAGCCGGATTTTATATTATCATATTTTTGCAGTGTGATATCCTTTATTTTATTTCATTTAGGGATTTTGAAACGTCCCATCGTAGCCTATGATGAATATGATAAGATTTATAAAGGTCGTTTAATATTTAATTGTATAAAGGCATTATATAACGGTGATTTTATCGCCCCTCTAACACTTGCGTCCGGGGCAAGAGCCCCAACTTGTCCTCCCACTAGATCCGCGCCTGCCCTTTCTTCAATTTTATCGATTAACTTTGAACTCGATTCGAATCGATCCAACTCGATACAACACTATTCGATCAACTCCAAACCTTTGCATACTTAGATCAATATGCAACTTTGGATGCCTAGATAAAATCTAACTTTACAGAAGTTTTTGGGCTCTTCGACTGACTTCGCTGCATAGGAAAAGATTAAAATATAAAATACCTACAACATCTCCTTACATTTTAATCTGAAATACTAATAGTAAGTGGCGCTATTTGTCGGTCATGTAAGGTGTTGACACTTTCATTTAAAAAAAACAGTATCTTGCCTTTTTTACTCAATCTGTCTTTTCCTATCACTTTTATCAATATAGTTAATTTATTTATTAATATTTGAAGGTCCAATTATCATATTTTTATTTTACCCTTATTTTTTATCAAAATTTCGTAGCGCATAAACTATGGCTTTCCTTCTAATCCAATATTATTGTTCTATACAGTTCGTATTTGATCAATGTTTGACCTACAAATTATCCCAGCGCCACCTAACGGAAGTAAAATTCGAAAAGACGAACTTTCATCTATAAATGTCAATTTTTTATAAGGTTTAATTTTAGATAGTGAAAATCTGCGGAAACATTGATTTATGTTGACTATGTGTTCTATTTACATTAAATCTAAATAATATTCAAGCAGCTAACTATAAAATTAATCATTTTTGTGCGATATTTTTTTAGTATTACCACTATATATGTTTTTACATTGTTATATATATTATTATAATATGTGGTATTACTAATACCTCATAGTACCTTTAATAGGTAACGCATATGTTATTATTACTTATTTTTTATTTAAACTTAATTGGGATCATGGCAGGAATTACTATTTTATAAAATACGAGACAAAATATTCTGATTGACTATGGATCTTATGAATTTAAGTGATCGTTTTAGTTATTACAACAAATAAAAAGTTTATAGTTATAAAACTCAATATTAAATCACAATTATGATTTCTAGACCACTATAGAATCTTAATATAGTAAATCAGTTTGTTTCTATATTATCTAAGTACCTATTTGGACTAGGATCGATCAGTCGTACATTGTTTCTTGTTATGTTATACTAACACTCTGTATAAAGAAGTCGATAATTTTCTGATTTACCAGTGTGGGTCGAATTTGTATCGTGCACACTCGTTTAAATTTCCTTTAGTGATACTTGTACAGCGCCCGTGGTGCTTTAAAACTGAATTAAGATTATTATAATTATATGCAATCGGGTCTTGTTCGTGCATTTTTTAAACAATTAAGATTACTATATAAAAGTTCGACTTAGATATGCTCAATAGAAATTTCATTGGCAAAGATGGTTTCTCATGGTAGACAGTCAAAGCGGTGAGTACAAGTTTTACGTTAACGCGTTTATTAGTGTAGTGAGTGTATGGAGATTGGTAGTTCTTCATAGTTACCGCTAGGGGCGCTGTGCCGGTTTCCATACTAAAATTTTAACGCGCTCACGATCGACAGTGAATGTAAACTTAAAAAAACTGGCACTGGTAAATGATTTCAGCTTATGATTTAATAATTAAAATGGTAAGTTTCTATAGTGGCCAATTGGGTAACTATACAAAGGTACATTTTATAACATGGTGTTGTAAGATACGTAGTTAGTCTTAGATTATAACATAAAATCACTATGATCTTAGATTATTTAATGTAAGATCATAGTGTGCATATTCCACTAAATAATTACTGAATATCGCATACAATTTTTTTTTGTCGAATATAAGCACTGTCGTCTTGTGTTGTTGCCCAAAAGAGGGATTTAATACAGTGACCCGGCACTACATATCTATTTCACTCTTGCGCAAACATGTTCCTTTTGCACTCGCATAGATGCATCTAGCCAATTTTGTCATAGTAAAGTCGACTTTTATTGTTTACGATGTTAATTCTCCCTAATCGGTGGTCACCGAATATAGAACGGTCGTTCTACGGCATTATTTTATTTTATGCATTCAATTTTAAACATCAAGCATTATCATGACGCATCACAACTAATTCTCAATTGACAACTCTAATTTATATCCCATTCTATCTCAGGCATCTGGGTCTGGTAATATTTAAGCATTTTTTCTCTAAGTTAAATATAAATATAAGCATTATTAATGTAATACTGATCAAATATATTAATGATTACTTTACAAATGATAGAGCCAGTGTTGTGTGATATAGACGATTTTTATCGAAGATCCTGAAAGGTGGTGAAAGTAGTAAACACTACAGTCATGAAGCCATTAAAACTATCGATTTTCTTACCAGTATCGATATGTAAATCGGTTTTGGTGATAATAATAATATTCAAACTGCGTTTAATAAAGTGTAGGTATATAGAACATTTAACTAATTAAATACACAATAATACTGTAAATCGAACTATCGATAGGTATATCACTATAGATATAGCTTATTTTGTTGTACCAATCTCTAAATTAAATTAAAACAATAATAATTTTAAGTTCCTTTTAACTTTATTCCGTCGTCACTGAATAATATTAGAAAAATAATTATACTCCTATATAAGTGTATTGCAATATAAAAAGTTTATTTCTGTTATCTTAGTAATTTACAGAATAATTTATTTCTTATTAGATATTTCTGATAATACCGATGTCAGTATTCCTTTTGACATTATAAAATGTGTTGGTTTGTCCTATTACAAATATGATGATAATATTCATCCAGGAAAATGTTTCTAGAGCAATATAGGAATAACATCGATATTTTAATCGCTATCTCAACAACACTGACTTGATCTCGTTATACAGTTTCACACCGAAGTCTCGGCAGATGTGCTGTTTTTTCTAGAATCATTCTTTTTACTTCCATTCCAAGAATCCTTGCGTCTGAGGATTTCACTCTGAAATATTTCAGACGATTTTAATACTAACAACGACCATTACATACATGATTAATACAGCAAGCTGGAAAATTGAAAAAAACAATGTTCATGCTTGGAAATGTAAGAAAGATTAAGAATATAAAATAAACGTAGATAACTCATACAAAACTTAACATTACAAAGAGAAGTACTAAATTGTAACTAAATATAACAGCTTTTAATTAAACAATTTTTAGATAATTATTCAGTGTAATTTATTATATTTCACTTTTTTAATATTTAATATTTACCACATTCAATAATAATTATAATAAAAAAAGGATTTGAAAAATTGCATGAATATTATACACATGTATCTTTGAGTTCTACTTAGGTAATTAGAAACATTTAAAAACTTATTATATATATAAACAATTCAAAATTGCATGCCAATTAAATACTGAAAAAATATAAAGCAAATACACAGAGATGAATAGGTAATTTAAAATAGAAAGAGGGAACAATTTATGTAGTTCTATCTAATTAATCTTGGTCAACGCTATATTTTACTGAGCATAATTACAAGGAACCCTCCCTCCAATCATCATGTCATGGCCCATCCTCCTTAACCCTCCATAAGGAAGGCCTGAGCCCCTGCAGTGGGGACGTCAAAGGGCTGATGATGAATTACAAGGAAATGCATAAAAAACCTTTTTTTTCTAATTACGCTGCATCCGACTGCATGCGGCTTGCCGCTATAATTCTTCGTGCATGTATGCGGCACGATAGATAGTAAAAGCATGAATTAAACGAAGAGTCAGCACGGATGCGTGCTATATCGCATGCCTCCATGCGCATGAATGGAAAAAGGTCAATGTAATTTAATTCGTTGTGGCAAAGCCTGTTGTATAAATTTTTGTTACCATTTAAGATTAATGTATTGAAAAAATAGTAAGTAAGCATAATGATGCATTAGTCTACGTAGTTTAATGTGAATTAAATATTATAGGAACAGTCGCGTTATGAAAAGTTTTATGTCTTTAAAATTTGATATTGGCACATTTGAAAATACTCACCTATTTGACCTTCACTAGTTCGAAAAGTTATATTGTGCCTGTTATGTATCAGTAATGGATTTCATTTCGCGACTCTACATTGAGAAAACACACATATTAAATAAGTACTTACATCATACGGTTTACGTTTCCTTATATAGGTAATCTAAATTTTTGGGATATATTTTCAATTATTTATAAAAATTCTAATATCCGATAATTATTGAAAGTTATAAAAAATTCTAAAAACAGATAATGATTTTAAGAGCCCTATTACAAATACAAACAAACTCGCTATCGGTCATATTGAACCCGGACGGCCGGTGCGTCGCATTTTGTAGTAATTTTGCTGTTATATTTATCGGTTTTATAAAAATATGATAATAAACTTGTGCTTATGAAGTAATAATTATTCTGGTACCAATTTCGTTCAATAATATTATCGTACTCGTAGATAGAAAAAAATCCCAGCTGAATATATAATGCGGGTGAAGACAGTAAACGAAATTAAATACATGTTATTTTGCTTAAATTAATTATTAAAAAACAAATATTTTATAATCGTTGTAACGTGACCGCAAACAGCGCGTGACATCATGTCCCTCTTACTCATATCAGGGGCGCGACCGCCTAACTCGTGGACGTAGTCGTAGTCGTAGCTATAATCTACGCTCTATTGATATTTCTTATGAATCGGTTTATATTCTTTTATTTTTTTTTTTATTTATATATTTTATCAAACGTTTTGGTTTGTTTTTCTTTTCGAAATAGCATTGTTTGTATCAATTCGACATTTTGTAAATTTCGTTTAACTTTAATAAATCAGCAAACAAAAACAACTAAAAGCATTGATTAAATATGTAAATAATAAAAAATGATTAATTTTAAAACAATATCAACATTTTCCTGTGTAAAACCTATAAAGCGTAGGTTATAGCTACGACTATGGCTACGTCCATTAGTTAGGCGGTCGCACCCCTGGATTTAGAGAATTCAACCTTATGCACATATAGAACGATATTAGTTTCACAAGGCCGTGACATCATGACGACGCCATTACAGAAGTGGAGTTTACACGGGAAATTTTGAAAATTAAATTTATTTTTATATTTCAATATATTATATGAATTATACTTTTTAAAATATTTTTTTAGATATATTTCATATATATCTATAAACGTATTTAAAAAACTAGTCTATACACCTATTTTGAGTTTAATTAAAAAGTAAAACACAATTTACAAAAAGCGAAGCGAAAAAGTTACTCTGCACTATTCAATAAATCGAAATTAATTTACGATTTTGAGAGATCAATTGAACTGACTATTTTAAGCACAAATCACAGTCGAAATGTAATAGGGCCCTTAAGGAAAAGTGTACTTCCTACAATATTATTTTCATTTAAGATGCTATTATTACCTTATAAAAAAGGCAACCATAGATAAATGGAAAACTACTAGTGCTCACATATAGAGAATGCAGGTTGGTCCCAAATGAAGAATAGATAAATATCCTCTTAATTTGTTTGTGATACAACTTGCAACCAACACTCCTTATGTAAGCACCACAACATGCTAATTCTAGTAAGGTCTGCTTAACTCATGCACTGATGGGCGGGTCATGGCATGCGTGCGTGCTCCATTGGTATCATAACGTGGTGCCATGCCACTCAAAATTTGGTGTCTTTGACGCACACCTTCATAGATTCTTCTTCTTCAGCCTCTTCCATGGTCGAGAGTCGCCTCTCGATCTCTGATTGTGCGCTCTTCGACATTAATTTCTTATGTTTGTTACTGAAAATTTTGAAATTAGAATTAAACTAAATTTTATGTAAGGTAGTGAGAAAATTAACCTCAAATACTTTGTGAATAAAACTTCATTATTTTATTTCCCTGTAAAATCACCGACATTTAGTGTTTTGTTCGACTTTTTTGTATTTAATTTTGATTATTTTTTGTTAGCAAGCATTAGCATTATTATATTTATAATATTGCTTAAATTAATTATGAATAAACAGATATAATCGTTGTTACGAGACCGCAAAGAGCGCGTGACGTCGCGTCCCTCTTACTTATATTAAAGAAGTCAACGTTATGCACACATTAAACGATATTAGTTTCAGAGGGGTGTCCCAACTCAGAGTGGATTATTAAGCATTTTTCGTTAAGAATATTTTCAAGCAATATTATAAGTACTTACTTTTTCTTGCCGGTTTTAGATTTGAATTCTTTTGAATCGCCTTTCGTTTTATTCTTGTTACCATTATTAACCTGCTTCCATATTCCTGTTTTATTTACTTCCTCAGATATATTAATGGATGTCAATGGTATATTCATAATGTTCCCATTTATGAGTGGTATTTGAAGATTTTCCTGATACGTAGGCGGGTTGCTCTTGTTAGATACCTGCAATGATATTTACTAAGACATATTTTTTATACAAAATTAGATCATTTTATATGATGATTGTTATTACAAAAACAAAAAATGAGAGAACTTACCTGATCTCGGTAAAACAAAGAGATATCAATAACATGATGATGGATTAGGTAAGGAAAATAATGCTATCTAATATGGATGAAAAATAAAATACTCGTAAGTTAACATAAAATAATTTTATTTATGAAGACTTGAATATAATGAGTAACGAAAAAATTTGAATAAGTGCTTGTGTGTAACGGAGGAAAAAAAATTATACGCCAAGAGCAGAAGTCAGTTTCGGCGGAAAAGGCGTAATATTTTTACATGCCATCCCACCTCAGCGTCTCCCAGCTCCCGTAACTCATCCTGGTTCCGTTTTGTAATTTCTGGCATTACATCGTCCAATATCTTTAACTCTCTTCTGGTGAACAATAAGTCTAGTGATTTCCTAATTCCAATCATCACTACCAACATCAAAGGGAATAAGATGGATGTGAGAGAAAATGATTTTATAACCCAAAGACAAACGAGACATGTCAATTGGATGGCTGTAAAAAGATGGACTCGACGTATTGGCACCTGTAAAATAAAAAAAATATTATTAAGTTGTTGTTTTTAAGCGATTCATTTTATAGAGATTGAATTAAACATCTATAGTTTACCTGTCTCAAGAACATGTGGTCTGGTTGATATTTCTGTGGCATAAACATTATCAAGATTCTGTCAAAGAATTGCAGACCTTTGAGTGACGCAACACCCATGTACAGGAAAACTCCGAATAATACAGGCATTGGTATATTCCTTAAAACTGGTGTGAGTACCACCGAACAGCCTATCGTTAAAAATATCAGAATGTGAGTGACTCTTTGCTCTCTCACCCCCAGGAATTGGGGCTTCTCGCCTGGCGCAGCACATTCTGATTCCACTTTTAGAGAGTTAACGTGGTTTATACTCAATACTGTTGCTGCCACGAACCAAGGTAAACCCATCACAGAACAGATTTGTATTAATATGGCCAAAACAAATAAATCTAAATGATATCCACAACCTTTTTTTAGTTTGTTTTCCTTTCGATTGACGATTACTGCTGTTATTTGCTGGTCCATAAATATTAAGATTGTTCCTAATAATGCTGGCAATATGGCGAGTAACGCGGACCAAAATGGGTTCCCGTTAAAAGGTGTAATGACCCATTCCCTTGTTGGAAGAGTAGGTTTGAATTCTGATGGCACTTCTAATTTCGGTGTTTTCACTCCTACTTTATAATCCAAAAAAGACATCGACAGAATAGCGATTATCACAGAAAAATCGCTTATAACTTGTCGAATCTAAAAAATAAATATTATAATGTAAAAATCATTGTTTATTAATTTACTTATTCTATACTCGACTTTGTATTTACCTTGGCGGGGAAAAATAGTGAATTTTTAAAATCCTTTAAAATTACGGATATAACGAATGTACCTAAAAATAAAATTATCGACATGAGAAAAACGTCTGGTACGTAAACTTTGGTGTCACATCCTCCTCCAGCTAACGTTCCATTATAGAGCTGAAAATTAAAGTAACGGTAAACATCGCACACTTGACTTTTAAAATAGAAACTGCGATTAAGAAGTGCTAGTGTACCTGACACGATTCCTTCTCGACTAACGTCCAATTAAATCGCTCAGGGACTCTGGAGTAATTGCTTGGTAAACAGTAACATTCATAATTGAGAACCTCATCAGGGTGAGTGTTGAGTGGGTATTTCTTACCGATGGATATTACATTTTCTACTGCCTGTAAAGTTAAAAGCATATAACATCGTCACATATCAAATTTATTTTCAGTGGAAATATCTGTGCGTTCGAATTACCTTGTAAATAAATATAAAAGCTATTAAGGTTGCAAAGTTTTCCTCGGTAAATCTTGTAATGTAGCAAACAAATGCACTTGCATCAATCGCAACTAAAGTCACAAGGATGATTGTGATCCAAGTTCCGATACAAAATCTAAAAGACATGTAGTTCCAACCAACTTGTCTACAGAATTCAAATACAATTGTTTCGAAAACTAATACAGGGCCAGTTGATCCTAAAATCGTCAGTGGTTGTCCAGAAAAAAAGCCGTATCCCATACCGCACACAAATCCTGATATAAGTGATTCCATGGCAGCCATATTTTTGCCTGTAGCTTCACCTAAAAGACCCCCAAAAGTAATAATTGGAGATAAGCAAGCAAAGTAAAGGAAGATCCAGGATGCAACACATTGGATTGCTAACGCGTCTTTGAAGTCTGACCAATACCATGGCTTTTTCCGTTTTAAATCATTTATTAACCCTCCAAATAATCTCCCACTTCTTGCTAAACCTGATTCTTCTCTTTGTCTTTGTTCTTCTTCTTCTTCGTCTGGTTCTTCCTTTATATTATTATCATTTGGCCTTTTTCGAACATCCTGTGAAGGTATAGCTGCAGGTGGTTCTATACGTATAGCTGGATCCCATTCTCCGGGTGGCAAGACAGTAACAGCATCAAGAAATTCATCTATGCCAGCTAATAAGTGATCCCTTTTCTTTGCTCTATATGCTACTTCATGAAATATTTCATCTGACATAAGTGTAGCCATTGCTCGTCCAATTTCATGAAAACTAGAATTACTGTTGGGTGGACCTAATAGTACAAACATGAATCGTGTTGGCACTGGTACTTCAGTCAAATCACCCATTAAAGTGCCTGTCTTAAGTCTGACAAAAGCTGAAAGAGTTTTTTCAAGAAAATCTACTTCTCCCACTAAAATATTGGAAGCTTCTGCCCCTGGTGGTATTTTTCGCATAAAATGAACATTGCTTTTATGGTTTATATCTCCATTCATTGGGAGATCTCCTGAACTATGGTTTCGTTGCATGGATAAGCTACTTGGGCTTTTTACCATTCCTTCATCATTACCTGCACCTGAAATTATTTGATAATTATTCTATTGCAATTTCGTTAACACGTTCAAGCAAAACTATGGCTTAACATTGTAAAGCTCCAATGAATGTAAATTTTACAAATTATTCGATCGACGATGTACTGACCATGCGAAATTAAGTTATATAAATATTTTTAAGTAATAAATAGTTATTAGTCTGTTAAACCATTGTCTTGCCAGTATTTACACACAAAACACCATAAAAGATAAAGTGGGTTGACAAAATTCAAAATATCAAATTGTGCAGTTATGAAGATTTTATAAATACCTATGAAAAATTGTTATACTGAACGAAAATGTAATAATTTACAGCTGAATACTCAAACACTTCTGAATCTTAATATATATATATATTTTAATACAATTTCAAACTCTAATATTTGAGTAAACAACCTTTATGCTAGTGAATAAAATGAATCTAACGATTTTATTCGTGAATCACAAACTAATGAATTTGCCACCAATGTTGTTCAAATAGAAGGTATTTAAAAAAAAAGATACTTTTAAAGCACGAGCAAAAGCCAACTGTTTGTAGCAATACCGGCTGAAAATAATTTTACATTTAGCAATAAAATAAAACATTGAGAATATTAGTAAAAACATCAGAAATGGTTTAAATAATTTCATAAAACATCAAAAAAACTAAATTGTAAGGAAATAGAACAATGATATTGACGAAGACAGTAACAAGGACAAGCGGTTACCCGCACTGGGGATGCCTAGGAATCGATTGAAATCTCCTTTTTGGGTATGTCCACTTGTTGATCCACCTTCCTCGACTGTAATAACAATATAATGCCAATTTTCAAGGACTAAATAAACACATCTTATTCATCAAAATTGATCATATAAAATACCTAAGTTATTATATTAGCATTTTATTAGTGCGCGTTGTGAGAACTACGTCTGTACATTAGCGTGATTTGTGATTTGTTGACACACAGTTTACCAATTCGCTCGATTTTCTAACCTGGAACTGCTAGATATGAACCTCTGGTATCGGTTGCTTGTAGGAGGGCGGTGTGAGGGGACGAGGTAGACCCCCGACAACTCCTCGAACTGGAGCGTCGAGAGCCACCCTCCTGAAAATCTGATTTGCCCCCATAATAACCATTAAAGTTCATCTGCTCAGAGTGTACCTTTTCTAACAATTTGTTTGTCGCTGCGCATTATTTTGAACATTAACATAATACTTACTTTTACATGATGAATGGTTTCTCCCGATGTCAGCGAGGGAACGTATTAGAGGAAGTCTGGACATGTTGTTATGGTTTCGTCTTTCGTGTTGATGTCTGTGTCTCCTTAATAAGGCATCTTTTACCTTTTCCCTACTATCATATCCTAGAGCCCCATCAGCTACCATGTTATCTAGTACATTATCTGCTACTTGTTCCAGAGAACTTGCTTCCATATCTAATATGACAGAACCATTTAATATAAGACTTCGTAGCTCGAATAGTGAATGCAGAGATAATGTAGCTACGTGTGGCTTTGACCACCGGTTGCCACCTTCTTCAACGTCTTCTTCGAATTTAATCCATCGAGCTGTCTCTTTCCATTCGAGTTCATCTCCTTCTTTAACTAGCTCTTCCATTTCGGAAAACAGTGGATGGGATTCCATTGTGCCATCATCAAGATCTTCTCCGAGTATGAATTGGACTCTTTGGGCTGGTGGAGTTACTGAAAAAAATAAACTAATTAAATTATGTTTAATAAAAATTAAAAAAATATTTACAATTATTACTGCTGCTACATGCTACATATCTATCAATATCTATTATGATGAAAATAGGATGGCAAAGTAGATAATATTGGAAATGAGTTTAAGATATCAAATAATCTAGAGGTCTACAAAAGATGTAAGATGTTTGGAAGTTCTAATCATGCCAACAAAATTCAGAGTATACAGGATTATGATAGTCTGTATGCTAAGTGTTAGTTACGAAATATTCAACGAAAAGCTTCATTTAATTTTCAAAAGCTCTACAGAGGAAGAGAAAATGGCTAACAAACTCAAAAGTAGTGATATAACTAAATATACCGTAAAAAGTTGTCTTAGCATACAGAAGAAATAATTATAATGTCTAAAAAAGGTGGGGATTTTTGCTACATTTCTTACGTGTCTCTCCGTCATCGGTGACGCTCAGTCTCCGGACGCGAGCCATTATGGGAGGTCCTACGAAGTGAATTACTATGCACGTATTTTCCATATATAGAATATTGTGACTTAATATATTAAATGACATAAATATTCCGCGTAGATACAGTTGGAGAGTCTATTTAAATAGTATAAGGGCTCAACAATTGTGGTAGTAAGTTGTTTAAATCTCCGTCTAAAATACCTTAACCTTACCTCTAAACTTCAAATTTTTACAACTAATTAATGTATTAAAATATTTTTTTTAAATTAATATTTCTATTTAAAGTCATCTTAGTAATCTAAGATCTCAGTGTTTAGAAAACTGAGCTGTCGAAAGGTTAGCTCATTTATGACGTAATCGGTTAGGGAGGGCAAGATTTAGCCAGATTGGAGACACGACCATAAAGACGTTTACGCTCTCGGATAAACGACGAACCGAAGTAATAATCACTAATGTAGGTCAAAGCTATATATCTGATTAGAAAAAGTCATGCGACGACGTATAAAGAATCCGAGAACGCGAATTTTTAACGGATTTATGTGTTGTGGATATCTGGTTCCTCTACAGCTCAACTTTTCCGAATTCGCCACAAAAATATTTTTTTAGGATTTGCTCTACTATGACTGACTGATATGTCTAAACATTAAATATTTTATGATTCCAATATCTTAGTATCTTGCAATACAATTAAAGTTTCTTTATTTCACACTATCTATTGTTTGTTATAGGGCTTAACTTTCGTTTATGTATTAGTAAATAACATTTTTGTTGTCAAAGACAAACAAGCTTGTTGTGTCCCAATACGGCTAACAGGCTTTTGCTTTGTGATTCACTAATTGAATATGAGTATGAACATGGATTTCTATTTACTCTTTTTTTTGTATACTGTTCGTGGATAAAGTATTGTATTTAATTTGACAACAGAGCTTAGATAAAGCTCTTTTACCGAATGTTTCTGAGTCCTGAGTCATCTGCCCTAATTGCAAAACTATGACATTGAACAATTAACAGCAACTAATGCATAAATCTATCCATTATTTTTATATGAATTATCATGTTTTTTCAATAGTTCATTTAAAAAAATCATATTATTGAATTTGAAGCGGTAAAGGACTCTTAGATAGGTATGTGATAGTAGATACTATTGCATGATCCCAATTCGTCAGTTTGTCATAGAATGACTTTGACGCTACAATACTTCAATGTTGGTTTAATTTTGTAGATCAAGAAGAGGCTTTTTATTATACTTTTACATTTGTATATGTTAATCTATTTTTATTACAGAAATAATATTAGCATTAGATGTTATATTGTGTGTTACAATTGTATTTAAAGCTGATTACAACCAGTGAAGTAGGTCTTTTAAATGTTTTTTCTGTGAGTGACGAAATATTTACTTAAAAACTTACAATACTCTAAAGATGGGTTGTTCAATATGTCATATTATTAGAACTGCAGAATATTGACATATGTTAGTCTACTGGTCGCTGAACATGTAAAAGTGGCATTTAGTAAAGAAAATGACAAATAATATTTTTAACCGACTTCAAAATCTAAAAGAAGGAAGTTAAATGTTCGACGTCAATGTATTTTTTTATTTATGTTAACCGATATTTTCGCCAATTGTTGACCGATTTTCAAAATTCTTTTTTTCATTCGACAGCTTAGTGGACCGAGGTGGTCGTATTAAAATTTTATTATTTCGGATTAGTAAAGTTGATAATTTTCTCTTGGCATACAATTTTGTTAAGAGAGAAAACTGAGAACTGGATTATCTGGATTAAGCCAAGGACTTATCTGTGCTGTGCATTAAACCCGGCATGCCGCCCTTAGATCGAGACTGGATTTATCAGCAACTCCGGACGGAACTCCCACCTATAGCTTTTTGCGTTCCGGATGATATATTAGATTTGTTAAAAATTGTTAATTCAAATTTCTTTGGGTATGACTTGTTGTTTTCATATAGTGGAAAGAGTACGTTTACCAAAGTAAACAATTCGTTAGTGACCCCTGCAAGCGGAGTATGACAAACTCTAGAAACGCTTTGTTTATATCCAAATATCACTTTCTCGGATTAAAAGTGAGAAAAGTAACATATGGACGTAGACAAAACGCCCTGGAGTTTATCATGCTACGTGTGCTGAGAATGTGTGGTGTGAAGGGTTTTGTGAGATTACAAAGTGAAAGAAAAGCTTCCTACCTGGTCTCTCGTCCTTGTCCCCATTGCGGTGGTGATGCTTATGTTTCCGATGTGAATGTCGACGGGCCGGCACGTGTACACCGACGAATACCGTATGAGCCCGGTGCCCTGTAACGTAATCACATTATTACTATTACAATAGAACTAATATTTTTTATACCTATTAGATTTCTTATTTGGTTAGATCTCTCAGTTTACGATGGCAAAAGTTAAGCTACTTTCATGATCCACTGGGTGATGGTTATGGGTGATCAAAATTTTATTAAGGGCCGTCGACTAATCGCGTAAGGCTCGAAAGGGGGGAGTAGTTATATATCAGCTGTATTTATTTTTTCCTCAAACGCGCGATTACAAAACCAAAAGAGATGTCGAAAATTGTAAATTTTTTGTAGGTTCTAAAAAATACACGTGAGTTGGTTGTGGTCTTAATCCTCACCGTGTATCACCAAGAGGGAGGGCGGTTTAAAATGTTGAAAAAATATCACATGATTAATGGACTTATCTTTTGAATTTGCAGTCGTTAGTTTGTTACCACCCAAAAAACTTTGTGTTTCTCTCCATAGGGAAGTCCTGTACCTCAAAATTGGGTATATAAATACCTTTATAACTACTGATGACGAAGATCGATTTCTTGTCTTAAATTCAAGCTTGTTATTATTGAAACTATTTTACATACAATTTAACGATCAATATCCAAAGATGTAAGCGAAATCGTGGTCTTTAATCAACCCCCAGGCTCAGTGCGTATCTGTTTGTATAACTTCTTTCAAATCCTATCCATACTTATTCGAATGTTAATAATTCAAATAGGACGAGTTATTTATGCGTGATTTTGCGTAACAAGGTGACAAAAACAGACAAGCTTATAGCCTGTAATATTCAAATGAGGTGACTTATGATTTGACGGCACTACTAACAAGGGCTGCATGCGGGTTATTTCAAGCATGTCAATAATAGCAACTATGTTAAAAGATATATCTGGATACATATCGAAGTTTTGCATGTTACTATGTGTTTGCTTTCTAGCGTCGATGTATTCATATTGTACACATATGTTCTGTTACAATCTACTTATTACGTGAATGTTGCTGACTTAGGGACAACACGTTTGCCAAATTTTCGTCATCAGCAATATTTGTGTATAAAAACTTGTAATTTTAAAAGACTTAACTAAATTTAGTCTTTGTTCAGATTGTGGAATTGCTACTCAACTACGGACCCGGTTTTATGCGTCGCCTCCGCGTCGCGACATTTATATAGGAAGTAGTGGTAAAGACAAAAGTAATAGTAATTGTTATAATAATTAATAATTATTATTTAAAATCGATACAGTGCAAACAAATCAATTTTTTAAACAAAGTTTGTGCACGGTGTCACAGTTCACTACTAGCATTATCGAATTAAAAAACTTTTTTTAAAACATTGGTCTTTCGTAAACTTTATTTTGAAATCAACAGGACTTTAATAAGATAGTGGTAAGTGCGTTCAGTCAGTTCCGCAAGTGCCGATCATAAGATAGGTGATAATAAACTTAATACTCGAGCTCCTCCTTCATTCGGAAAGCACGAAGAGTCTGGTTGCATCCCCCAAAAATTATCCATCAGATGCATAATTTTTACTATATCTAATAATATAATAGAAGGTTTTTTTATATACTTATTTTAAGAAATCTCAGCCAACTAATATTCAATAATATTAAATATATCCTGGGTGGAGACATCCACTCCATTCAAAATATTACTAATCTAACCAATATATATACCTTGTTCCATTTAAAGTGGCGAATGATGTAAATAAACAACTCACCGGAACTATTTACGGAGTTTTCGCAATGATTAAACGACGAAATGCAACCGAAACGGATTTGTTAACTTGGTTTATCATTTTTAACACCATTTTTATACTTTTGAGAAATAAGCAGTAAAATCACGGTTTTCACGAAAATAATACATTCTCAACTAATAATTGACGTACAACTGACAGTTCGAAAAAAAAAAGAACTAGTGATGAGAACATAAAATGAGTGATTGAAAAAGCAACTTAGTCGGGCATATTGAAATAATTGAAAAAAAAAATTGGTATTTTGAAGTAAATATATGTCAAAATGTCTTTGGCATAAAAAAGAATACTAAACAAAATCAGTAAACTAATTTACATCTTCAGTGAAATACGTATAAATAAAATAGAGTTAGAAAGATATAATTTATGTTAGAAATAATTTAAACAGTTCTGTCATGCACAGTAGCAACTGTCGCTAGGAAATATGTACTGCACTGTAATATTTTCTATAGTTTTGTTCAAGTTTGTTTCTACGGAAATTGTGTTAATTTGTGTATATAAAAATGATCAGCGACTAGAAAAACTTCATTTTGTTATATTTTTAAGTCAGACACAGCGAATAGAATGTTAATTTCAATGTAAATAAGTTTTATGCAAAATAAATGGTTTAATCACCATTAAAGAGCAACATTTTAGAAGCAAACAAAAAGATTCAAATGCTTTATCGTTACTTTAT